TTCCTTTTCACCAGGAAAAAAAAAATCTCTCATCTATCCTCCCTCCCTCTGGCTGCCAAGGACAAGATGGAGATGGGCAGCCCCAGCATCAGCAGAGGCTGAATACAGGCTGGGCTTTGCCGAGCTCCAGTCTCTGCTCAGGGGCCTCTCTGCCCAAAAAGGGACAGTCTCAGGGACCAGGAAGATGGTTTGGGAAGAGTGGAGGGAGAGCTGCCATGGGTAATGTTAGTTAATCATGGACAACACAATGCCTTTCTGTGCCCAACCATCTGATGTTCTCTCTGCCACTATGGCGCTAGGAGCCTTCTGGAGTCAATAAAACTAAGCTGATGACTTCTCCTGTGTCCCCAAGACCCCACAGTGCTCTAACTTGGCTTTGAAGGCAGTGGGGGAAACGGTTCTACTGGTCACCTCAACCTGCCTCAAAGACTTGGTGGATATTCCTCTCCCTTGGGATACCTACTTACAGAAAAGATCACATTTGAAGGACAAACGTGTGAGTCAGCTCACCTGAACACTACTCCCAACACCTCCCTGCCAAGCTTTCTGGCTCATGTTGTGTTCGAAGAACTAAAGACATCACTTCAGAAACCTTTGCTGAGCAGCACTGAACTGGGGTAAATAATCAGATATTTTCTATTTCCCCAGCCCATACAGAGCTCAGCCAGGGGAATAAATCCAGTGCTGTTCTCTCGAGCCACTGGTGTTGCACCAGTTTACATTCACAGGGACCTGGGCCTTCCTCACTCTGCAGAGATATATTTCCTCCACAAACACTTGTTTTGCAACAGTTTATGCTTCTGCTGCCAGACATTATTTTTTTATCCTCAGAATTAATGATTAACAATTAAATTATTTGACAGGGGAATAGAGGCCCAGTGCTAATTAAATTCCTCCGTCTCTCCTCTTCACAAAGAAAAAAAAAAAATTATATTTCTCAGTATCAGCATTCAACCAGAACAGGGCAGTTTGTGATGTTGGACTTAATTAGATGGACAACCATGAGCACAGCCAAAAAAAAAAAAAAAAAAAAAAAGGCACAAAAATATTGCACAAGGGCCATGCAAATGTGGGGAGGAGGAGGAAACAGCCAACTGGGGAGCTAGGAATCGAGCAAATTGACACGTCCAGACTGCAGAAGAGCCACTTTCTAAACCAAATAACTTTTTATGAGAATATATTATCTGTTTAGCTGAAACAAGTAATGCAGACAGGACAAACAGTGCTTGTATAGGCTGGGAGAAACCAGTAATAGGTTTCTCCTGCAAGTCCTGCAAGGCTTGACTGCTCCATTTTAAAGAATGCATTTATTAGGTATCCTGGGCAGCTCAGCTCTTCACCACCACCAGTTTTTTCCTTCACATGTCTGCTGGCACGCTGGACCTCCTTAGGGCTTGGTGGTGTCTGCTTACATGCCAGCATTAATGTCAGAAAAGATTATGCTAGTTCATCGACCCTTTGAAGAAATCCTTTCCATTGTTATTGCTGTGATGATTGCCTGATGGCACTTTCTCAGCCAGATCCACTGGGGATTACACCAGTGTAAATAAGATAAGCCACTGTCTTGCTGTTATTAAAATGCACCAAGTGCTCTCAGCTCAGACAATATTCTTGCAACAATGCAAACTACATCCTCCGTGGTTTGTTACATGTTTTCCCTCATTTTGTTTATTTGGAGAATAGATTTTCTCTCTGAGGAACACAACAACCCACCCTAAATTTCCAGTTCTCTTCCATCATCCATCAGTAATTTTCAAACCACTTGGCAATTTCCCTCTCCTTGTCTCTGCTGAGCCAGGAAATGAAGAGTTGTACAGGACCTTCAAGGGTTCTTGTGTAGGAACTAAGGGCTAGAGAGAATACCAGAAAGCTCCCAAGGCAGCCTATAGCACTGGCCAAGACATGGAAGAGAGCAGAACCTGATAGCTTTTTTGGGTGTTGTCCGAGTTAAACTGCCTTAGCAAAGCTCAGTTGTCACAGCCAGAGTGCACATTAAAGGGCTGTGTTAGACACAATCCATCCCTCCAAAGCATGGTGAGGTGGGTCAGCATCTCAGTGCTGTTTTCTACTATTACTTCTGCACTAGAGAGTAGACACATCTTCCTGCTGCCTGCTGATGGAAAGGCTTTGCTGTTCCCTCATTCCCTGCTTTCTGGCCAAGTCTAGAGGGGAAATTGTTACCAGCTAGTTTTAGAAGAACGTTCAGCAACCAAATAGAAACTGGAAGAAAATTGGAACTCATCATTCCTAGGTCATCTGGGTAACAACAAATAGCAGCCTAACAGAGCTTCTAAAACATACCAGGAGGCACGAAACCATGTTTAACAGTTCCAGCACATCCTTAAAGGTGTTCACAGAAACTCACAGGGATGGGCATGAAGCTACAAATAGCAGTGGGTGGGGCTGTGGGAGGATGGTCCTCTCCCAGATACTTGTGGGAATCATTTTTTCTTAGATACATACTTCCACGTAGGAACTGATCCCATTAAATTCATTTACTTGCAACTTTGAAGCATTAAGAAGCAAAAAAAGGCACACAAGAAATATCTGCAGACTCATTCATTGGAACAAAGTAACTCAGCATGGGCTTTTGCACTGAATTTAGAGGCAAGCTGAACACCGATTTCTATGCTTTTTCACCTCATTTTTTGAAATTAATGCCAGAGGAACTACATTTTCTAATTATCGTTTTGCTCTTAAAGCTTATTAGATTTGTATTGCTTCTTCCTTCTGAGAGCCCCCCACTTTTCCACTTCCATGTACTTCCTCCAGTCTACAGTTAATGAGAAGAAATCAGTGTATTGCACTATCTGGCATCTTGCTGCTGAAGTGGCAGGAGTCTTTCGTTACCAAGTCATTTGCTGCTTAATTGAAATCTTTTCTCTAGACTCATTGCCATACAGACACTCTATTGGAATGCAGTAGCCGAGCCCAGTATTGATTGTCCTCCCTCTCCCAGCTCTCTTCCTCTGAGTTTGCAAATCAATTGCACCCTGTTGTTTTCCTTCTAATAAATAAATAAATAAATAAATGAAAACCATCACCCATTCCACAAACCCGTCTACTCCCCAAACAAACTGGTTTGGCTTTGCACTGTTTCGCAGAGCAGAGATAGGGACATGAGAAGAAGTAGCACGTGGATACAGTAAAAACTAAACCCACACCTTGACAGATCATCTCCAAGCACAAGTGTGCCTCAGCCAGTTCAGATAATACCCAGTTTGGGAGTGACTTGTGAATATATAAAGGGTGAATGAAATTCTAGTTTTAGACTCTCACTGGAAGTGATCTGGAACTTCTCTTCCCTCTTTATTGCAGAAACTCAACCATTTATATGTTAAAAACCTAGCAATCGGAGAACCCTAATACAATTGCAGCTTCCAAAAGCAGCCAGACTGCAGTTGTGAGTGTGCAGGACTGAGAACCAAGGCTTGGCAAGGCATCACTGTTAACACTGGAGAAGAGAGTCAATGCAAATACAGGTTACTGCAGACTTCTGATTTTGAAATGATGGCACCCAAGCCCTTTTGAATCCTACCTATTTTTAAACTTGGTGGTTCAAAATGCTCTTGTCAAGATAACATTTTTGGCTTTAAGGCCCCTTCCAACCCAAACCATTACAGGATTCTATGAATCCATGTTGTCATTTGTGAAGACATGCATAGCTAAATATCTGTGCCTCTTGTAAACATGCTTAGGCCTCTCAGCTGCTCAGCCACAGTGACTTCTCACGGTTTCCCACGCAGCCTTTGTACTTTAAAAAAATTCAGGAGGTTTGCAAAGGGTGAAGCAATGAGCCGAGCTTCCTCCTGAGCAGCTTTCTTTGGTTTATTATACATTTGCATTGCAATACTGCCTGTAGGCTTCAACCAGCCTCAGGCATCTGAATCCACAGGCAGAGACCGTTCTTGCCCTAAGCACATTGCATGTCACCTATGGGTTTGGTTTGTGCTTGTTTTTTGGTGGTTTTTATTTGTTTGTCTTATTTTGCTAAGCTAGACAATTTTACACCACACTTTCAGCCTGGGAACAGGTCTGTGTTTGAGCAGAAGCCATATAACCATAGAGAAGGAACCAAATAGTGTCTGTTCCTGTCTTGGAAATCAAACCTTCCTGCAAAGTTGATAATGAGCACCTGGTTCTAGAGGTCATTTGTTCCCATCTAGATGGCAACAACAGAGAGCTCCTGAGCCCAAATCATCACCCTGCAGATCTTGCAGGCTCCCACGGAGTCAGAAGGCACATTGCCAGCCTTCGATGTTTGTCTTATACAGATAAATTGGTAATTTCACTCTTTCTGTCCCAGGGGCCATACAGGTCCCCAAAAGATTTAATTTCCTTTCATCCTCAGCCCAACACAAGTATAATTTCAGGACCACGCTCCAGACACCTCCCCATCTGGAGATGGTGTTGCTGTATTGAACTCAGACCCCTGCATTGCAGGTACCAATAGCAAATGCTGGACCGACCAGCAAGCGAAAAGCAAAAATACATCTATCCCCTACAGTCCCGAAGGCTCTGCAGGAGCTATACAATCACATGACACTCATTTAAACCTCAAATTCCAGATTGCTCTGATCCTACCTGCCTTCTGGAAAATTAGACTGTCAGAGTACCAAATATGCTCCTTGCTATTTGCCATGTAATTAAGCAGTAATTGCTGCCCAAGGCTAATCTCAGAGTGTATTTTTCCTGTGGAGCTCAGTGCCAGAGTTCACATTTGTAATTTAGTGGCATGCCAAGGAGCTATACCTAAACTCACAAAAGGATTTTCTCCAATCATCATCTCTCTTCTATTTTGGTGGCAGCTGGGATTCTGTATTCAGAGATGTTTGGGCTGGGCAAACAAATTAGCAGAGACCAGCCTCATTAGGAATTCACATGGGTACCCATCCTGTCTCACAGCGGGAATGAGATGCTGACTGCTTGGTTTCTGGACCCCAAGCACTCCCCAGTATGGGACATACTCTAAAATCTCCTCTTTCTTTCTACTCAAACAGCCTGGCAGCCTCCAAAGAAGCTGAAGCAGCAGCACGATCTGCACCCAAACCCATGTCTCCTTCCGATTTCTTGGATAAGCTGATGGGGCGAACTTCAGGATACGATGCCAGGATCAGGCCAAATTTTAAAGGTAGGCAAACCCCCTGCTTTTGTGGCTTTGTTTCATTTTGGGACTGAAAAAATGCATGCAACCCTCATGAATGCCTCCCTAACTGTACATGGAATATGAACAAACTTCATATTCATATGAAATATGTATGGGAATGAGAGATTTGGCACATGGACGCCTTGTAGATGTCTGGAAAGGCATCTGGTCTCCACTTAGGATGGAAACAGCATTTTAACAACTTTACATGCAGGAAACACTTCAATATAGGGATTGAGGATCCTGCCAAACCAAATAGTGACCAGCAGGGTGTTGAACCTCTTGCAGACCGGGCGAAAAACTTCAACTTTTCCCCTAAATCACTGCCCACAGCACCATCTAGTAGTGGGTAATGCTTATACCCACTGAAGCCAAGAGGAGTCTCTCCCATCAGCTGCAGAGGAATTCAGGGAGATGCCAGAGGCAGCCGTGATCCGTCACTGTCCCCTATCACAGGAGGGCTCTCAAGCCAGTGCTCAGCACAGCTCCATTTCACACCCAGTTTCCCCAATTCACCCTGTACTCACCAGCAGCCAACCAGTCCAGCACAGCTCCATTGCAACAGCTGCTTTTCACACCCAGTTTCCCCAGTTCACCCTGTACTCACCAGCAGCCAACCAGTGTTGAAGCAGGCCTAGGAAGAGGCAACAGAACCTCTTTCTTTGCTCCTCAAAACGCCTCTTGTAACAAGGGTAGGCTTTATGGAGTATTTTTGGTTTGTTTTCTCTTTAACTGAGCTCTTTGCCCTTGACTCACACCCAGAGATAAAGTGGGACCTGCCCCCTCTCAGCCACTGCCCAGCCCTCTTCAATGCTCACTTCATTCACTTCTTTTGTTTCCTACCACCAATTACTCCTCACCCCAAAGAGTCACTGGCAACGCTAACATACATTCCCAGGACCCATTAATCATGGTGACAGCACCTGCCATCCAGCTTCAAGCAGTAGGCTCTAGTCTGGGCTTTTAAACCCAAAGATACATGGAAAGCTTATGTCCTAGTAATCAACAAAGCAGCAGAAAACAACTCTGTATTTATTCAAATCACAAAGAGTTAAAAAAACCCACCCTATAAACCTGCCTACTACTAAATTATGCACACACACAAAAGAAATTAAACTTTAATATTTAATGAAATGTATACATTATCTTCCTGCTGAAGGCAGCTGTATTGCATTTTTATTTGAGATAATTTAATTTCAGTTTTATTTCAATGAACTACACCTTCCCCACAGGGCAGTTTTGCTGGCTTAGCCTCCCACACATAAATCAGGCTCCAATTTATATGGGAGGCATAGGAGGTGTTTTACAGAGCTTGGGGTTGTAGCTCTCAAAGCATGTCATTTAAATTAACTGCAGTAACTCATAAGGGCATTTTAATGGCTTAGATCTGAATGAAAATAACACCGAAGATCCGTATCAGATTGATTTTTGGGGAGGGGAAGATTAACAAAATGAAGATTGCAGTTTTTCCCTAAATGCTGTAGAGTCTGGACTTAGCTGTGGATTCACATTCTGAGAACAAGGAAGAAGCATTTGGACTTTGCTTTAAGTTGGAGGATGAAGTCAGTGACCCAGACAGGGACAGAGCTGGCCCTGGCAGGCATGGGACAAGGGACCTGTCACACCTGAGCCTGCTGCTGGAGAACTACATTCCCTCAGCTGCATCCCACTGCACAGGTGGCACTTTTCACTGGCAGGCAGGGAAGTTTCTGGACTCTCACACAAGAGAAAAAAAAGAAGTTCTTAAAACTGCTCACAACTCCCCTTGGACACAGTGGAAAGAGCATGGTTCCTAAGCAAGAGCTGGGCTGCCCCAAGGAGAGTCTTCTTCACACATACTGGGACAAGCTCATCCCATACTCAGCTTCACTAGAGCACATCAGCACAGGATGAGGAAGAGCAGGGCCAAAACCCTCCATGCATGTCAGAGGCATGAGCACATGCAGTCGTCCAGGAGGGCAGCTCAGTGTTTTTCTTATGCTTTTCTTATATGCCCTCTGGGAAGGGAAATCACATGCACATGGACCTTCTCTATGGTTCATGAAATGGACCCAGAGAAGAAAACTGTTACTCCCAGGCTCAAGAGGAGCACTAAGAAAGGGATAAAACAAGTGCTAAACACGATCAAATGTTCAAAACTTCACAAGCTTGCTAGATAAGAGGAGTTAGTGAAGTGGGGGGAGAATAAAAAAGAAAGACACCATTTTGTACTTGACATTTTAGCCCGTGCCTATGTCTAACAGTCTGGAAGAACGGCACAGACTGAACAGTAAGTGAGCTGCTGCCGCGCTGGCAAAGGGCTGTCTGGGAGCTGGTTAGACAGCAGCCTGCTCGGAGTGTCTGGGACTCGTACCAAGAAGATCCCAGCCGTAGAGAGCATTGCTGTTACGTGGCTGCAATCCTACTCCCACAGAGGACAGGCACAAAGTTTCAGAAGAGACTTGAGCAGGAGAGGAGGAAAGGCAAGAGGAGTAAAACCAAGCTCCAAATGTTACTTAGTAATCAGGAAATTCCATTAATTTTCACACAGGAGGAAGCTTGCACTGATTAGAGGCACAAGCCTCTCGTTAAAGCCATTCCTCCCCCCACCCCAATTATTTCATCTTGCAGCAGCTGCCAGACTGCAGATGTGGCCTTAACGGGCAAGCATCACCCCCCGAGTGAAGCCGAGCCATCAGGCAGTGTTTGAAATGCAGACACCATCCTCATCTCCATAAAGGATTGGGGAATAATCTAAAAATTCACTTCCACTCTTTCACAGATTTTACCTTCCCAAGAGCATCTGTCACAGGGATGTTATGAGAGGAATTCCCCCTGTGTTAAAGGGGCACCTTAGTTCCTGGGGAGGTTCCTCCCCTCTCTGCCTGGGCTGCCTTTCCCCACCACACACAGGCAGCACCAGTAGCAAGCCCTTTAGCAGCTTTTCCCCCTCCCTTTAAGGCTCTACAGAAATCCTCTCACTATACACGGCCACACCACTGGTTTGCCAGGAACCAGATGTGGTTCTGGTTCCAGAACATTCTCCAGCTTTTTGCTTTCTGCTGAACTGCAGCTTTTGGCATCTCCCCCAGTGCAAATGCAACATTTCCACCTCAGATTTGCCGGGCAATATTGTGATCCACTTCCAATCACACTGATATACTTGGGCACTGGTACCCCACGAGCAGACTGACCTCCATGGCCTCTAACCACAGTCTTTTCATCCCTTAATTCTTACTTCTCTCCTTGCATGGCCCCTTAACATTTCTAATATGGCTAAGGTTAAACAAAGCTTCAGTCTCAAAGTAAATAAAGCCCAGGAGAGACATGGCCCAGAGTCTGGGAGTGCCCTCTCCCAAGACAGGACAGTCAGAGAATTTCTGCTGGTAGAGCCCTGAAGTCTCCTGTCCAGCTGTGACCCATAGCAGACGCCATCATTAGCACTTGGGGTACCTGCTCCTTTACTCAGCCTGATCCCTACAGCACACTCTGCTGCACTGGCTCCATAGGGAGCATATGGTGCCAGTTCAGAAACATTCAGATGCTTTAAATGAGTATTTTAGAAGTATAGAGCTCTAAACAAGAGACCCTGTCAATAGTCTCTCAGCTCTTTCCTGGGATATATTGCTATCGTGCTCAAGGTGAGCTTAGCACCCACAGAGCAATGCAGAGATATCTAGAAAGCTGTCCTGCCTGTGATCTATTCCTTTTCATCAAAATGGTTCACAGAAGAGATATATAAATACTCTGCCAAACCAGGGAGCGAAGGCGGAACAAGAGCATTGCCTGATGTCAAACTGGCACCAGAACCAAGACCAGACCTTATTCCCACACTCACCCCTCAGTCACCCTGATCCCACAACACGTTTTAATACCACAGAGTGGAAACGCTTTGTCTTATAAGCACACAGTGAACTGCTGTTCCAATCTGTATTTGTCATGCAGGGCCACCAGTGAATGTCAGCTGCAACATTTTCATCAACAGCTTTGGTTCGATTGCAGAAACGACTATGGTAAGTAAAAATCACAGCACAGCTGCTCCGCTACTGGCTCAGCCTCATTGCACTCCCAGCAAATGCAGCAGCACCCTCCTCTTTAGTGTGGCCAGAGGAAAATACTGTCTCTGTGTTCCCAAGATTTACCTCAGGTTTGAGTAAATTCACACACAACACACAAGACTCCACAGCCCGTAGTTGAAGATCACACAGTCTGTATCTGCATCTCTATGAAAACACTCTACAGACAAAGTATAAAGGTCAGAAAAGGAAACAAGTAGTCTTTTCTGAAGACATGCCTAAGGCTCCAAACTCAGACACAGTTGCAGATACTTTGTGTTTAAGTGCATGTAAATCCAGGAGTTTGATTCAACACTTTAAGTGAGGAGAAATCAACTAGACTCAAATTCAGTCTGCATCTGATTTCCGATTCCCCAAGATTAACAGAATCACTACATGATTATTTTCTTGGAAATATATTTGTTAGACAACTTTTAATTAAAAAAAAAAAAGCCAAAACCAATATTTGCAAGTTAGGTCTCACTTCAGACAAAGTTAGTGAACATAGCTAAAGGCTGAATCTAATTGGCAAGACACTAGGAGCAGAGAATTGCTAGAACAAGAGATAATTGCTCCATCTGAAAACTATTAAAGATTGGTTGTGACATAATCAGTGAACAGCAAAGGGAAGCTCTGGAGGTACAGTGCCTTACCTCTGTGCTAATTAAAGCTAATCCAGAAATGCAGTGTTTAATTACTCCTTGGTAATTCTTTCTCTAGAAAAATGTGGAATGAAGAATGCAAGACTCCAGCTTCAGGCGTTTTGTATGTTCAGGCAGGATCTTATAGGTTTTGCATACAGATCACACCCATTGACTTTAACAAGTTACTTAGAATGCACACCACTGTCAGAGGAGATCAACAGCCACATACCTGGGGTTATAAATCTCTTCTGACACTACTATTTATACCATTCTTCTGGAAATGTTTGGAGTCAGGGGCAGTTCAATTCCAGTAGCAGGCAATAAAACCCTGTTACTTTGTCCAAGCACAAAGAAACACATTTCATAGTCGGATTGCTTGAATTCGTCAGGGTTCATAGAGGAAGTGTGTATTCATGGATTCATCTGTATATAAAGCAAAAGAGAAAGAACTAGACCCAAAATATGTATCTGTTCCTAATGCACTATTTTATCAGATGCTTCCTTTAGTGTTACAGGCAATAAATACTGTGTTCCTACACACTCTGGCAGAAAATCCACAGAGTGCAAGGGAGAGGGCAGGCACACAAGGGAGCCCTGTGCAGGGTACAGAGCACATTACAGTGACATGGCTTTCAGTCCGTCTGTCCTACATTGCAAGATGCATCAGAGCAGTCATGCCAAGATGCCACAGGATCCCTGTAAGCAGGATGCTCTATAAAATTAGCATAGTCTGCCATGAGAGAGATGCCGTTCACCTCTAAGACACGCTGCAGGGACTTGCTCTCCTCTCCAGATGCCGCTCATTTCATAGTCTATCTTCCATAGAAAAAAAAAATTCCCATGGGAACCCAAGAACACCCTCCAGGCACATTGCTTTGTCTAGAAATACCCAAGCCAGCTCTGACAAGCTAGTCCAGATGTCAGGCTGACACAGCATTGCACACAACCTAATATAATGCACTTCTTCGGGGACAGCAATTCTGCTTGTAAACGCTGATGAGAACACAAGCAACACAAGTACTGAAACATATAAAAATGAGAGCCCAGCAAGCTGGAGCAGTCTTTGGGACTTACTCTGCAGAGAAGCTGGTCTCTCCCCACTGTTTGAGGACGCAGCAGGTCAAATAGACAGTGTCAACTCCCCACCACAGATTCTGGGAGGTCCTGAAGGGATTTTGAGACAGACCTGACTACTTTGAATTAAAACCAGTGATCAAATACCTATGGGCAGGGGGTGGGGGAATCTTGCAGGGTGAGGAGAGACAATTCAACGTTTTGCCATAAAGCAAGCGGTATTCTATCATTGAGCCCTGCGACTGATGATTGTAATGCTCCCCAAGCTGCTTCACTGGCCAAAAGAGAAACAACATTATGGTTTAAACCTCAATCATTAGGCACCTTAAGCCTGGCCAGGTTCAGGTTCCGAGTAGTGTATCTTCTCACATGTGGTTTCTACTGCAGTGCTACCTACAGGAGAAGAGTCACGGGTTTTTATGGATACCACACATGCAATTAGAGAAGGTGCTAAACTATCTCCATAGTGGGGTTGTTGGTTTTTACAGAAAATACTACTGCTACCATTTAAGTTCACACTGCCTGAATCTCACAAATAAGCATAAATCATGAGGTCACCATGCAGAGGATTAGAGAAACTGGATGCAAATGGTCAAGACACAGAGATCTAAAAACTGTTGCAAGGATAGAGGGAAGAAGAGGAAAAAAAAAAAAAAGACAAAGTCATCCACCAAACTGAATTCCTCAAAGCAGAGCTGACTTAGAGCAAGGAAAGTAAACTTATTTAAGCACCCTACAGAACTGGAGACCAAACACAAAAGCCTCTAGTGGTGCACGTAAATCTACCATAAACATTCAGTCAGTTACCTTAGGTTGTGGCTCATCACTTATATCCATCAGCCTCGCTTGCAGTCAGCAATAAAGACAAGGGAACTTGTGAACCCAACAAGTACTTCAAGGGGAAAGATATTACCAACTACAACAGCCAGACAAGTAGAGACAGCCTCCTTCTGTCCCAAAGCATTGCTGCAATAACACATCTAACAGCAAGGGATTCCACAGGAAAACTGCAAGATGCATCCACTCTATCCACTTATTTTTATTAAAGACACCAGACAACCCCCAACCACAAGCTGTTAAATCCCTTTTTGTTCTTCAAAAGCGTTAAGTACCTTCCCCCAGCTATACCAGTGCAGGAAACCTATAGCAAAGCTACAAATTCTTCATTCAAAACAAAACAGAAGTCAAGCACTTAGGGAACAATGTATCGGTTTTCACTGAATAAACTGCACCAGCTTTGGCTTTTCTTTGTAGCACAAGACAACTGGTAGGATTATCTGAGCATTTTATCTAACAGATTTCCTGCTATAACTGCAACGTTGGAATTAAGCAACACCCTTGATCTTTCTTCCAATGGAAGCTGCAGACTTACTTATCTCTGACTGACTTAGGGAGTGGGGAGCATTCGGTATACAGTGAAGTCACACAGAGAATGAGGGATTTATTTTTATATCATCACCTGGAGTTACCAGGAGCTAGACTCAATGCTCAAGATGACTGCTCCTAGTCCCGTGTTTTAAAGAGGACCCACATGCAGCAAACAAGAGAGCGTAAAAAGAAACCACAGAACAGCCAGCACAGGCTTCTCTACATCCAGTGTATATATGCAAATTTATTTCTGCTGATTTCATGCCATAGTTATGCCATCTGAAAAGAGCAAACCAAATGTAACCTTCCGGCCAGCTGCAACACAGCCACAATTGGTCTCCCAGCATCTCCTAAGGACAGGAGAATCTAGAGGCTGCAACTGTCCAAACGTTAAGTACTTGTTCAGAGACATCTGTATACAAGCTTTCCAACGAGATAACAAACCATCCTGCAAAACCGACCGAGCAATTCACTCCAGCCTCACAGGCCACTGCAGCACATAGCAAATATGACTGATGAAGCGTATGGGTCACATTTAATACTGAGGCCACTCACCCCAAGGTCAACAAAAGACTTAAGTATCAAAGCACAAAGCCTGTAGCAAAGGCTAGGTTTTGAGCTCAATTTTCTGCAGTCAGTCATTCTTAAAACCAGCCATCAGTCCCACAGAGATGATAAGCGAGTAACAAGTCACGCAACACAAAATGAAATGGTTCTCACACCACCTCACAATCTGCTGCAGTTTCAACGTTAGACCTGCAGTGTTTTGGCCATCTCTGAGTGAAGTTTGTCTTTGCACTGATTAGAGGAGGGAATAAAAATAAATAAATAAATAAGCCATGAAATGGGACTGTGCAACTCAAATACAAGGACACAAAAAACCAAGCTAAAGAACAAGTCCTCACTACTAAATTCCTAAATCAATAATCCAGGACAGTGGCTACAGCCTACCCTCCCCATCCCCAGCAGCCCCATCTTTGGCCCAGAGGAATAAGCTTTCTCCGCCTTTTGTGGAGAGAAGCCTAGAAAAACTTTCTGCTTTGGATTCCAGAACAAAAATATCCACACATATTAAACACCAAGATACTGCTCCCATCCCTCACCACACACCTACCTTCCTCAAGCAGCAGACGTCCTCTCAAGCAGCAGACGTCCTCCCCTCAGCCCAGCTGTGGCTTTTACACCAGGCTTCAATTTGGTTACTTGGCTACAGCTGTGGCAAGGTAACAAGGTCCCTTATTAACCCTTCCAAGGTCCACTCACAGTGTGTTTATTTTTTTGCAATCAGTCAGTTGTAATGATCCTTTGCAGGGCAAGTAGCCTTAAAAGTGTTCGTTCATTCCCTTTCTAGAGAATGAACTCAATGTCAGTAAAATCCCTTGTGCTCTGCTGTCCAGGTGGGATAACAGAATACCCTCCTGAGGGATTTCAGCCTCTACCCTGTTTTTTTTTCCATCAGCAAAGAGTAAATCTGTCAAAGTGAAGCTTCTCACCAAAACTGCTCAGTGCAGAGGCTGATCTGACAGAATCCCTGAGTCAGGGGCTGAAACCTATTGAGTTTCTTGACAGCCTCCATCCCTTCTTCACAGCACTACCTCCAGCCTGCCACTGCTTCCATCAGCTCGCTCATCATCAGATCCCAAGACTGTGGTACCTTGGGAAGGAACAGTCTGAAATGATCTTCCATTTCTTTGGCTCTTTGTGAGGCCACTAAGCAGAATTTCATTTCAGCATTACCAAATTGGACTACTCTGATGACTTCAGTTATTTTCTTCCTGCGCTGTGTCATTTCCCCCTTGGGAGTAAAATGTCTTTGTGCCAAATTGCAAAGCTCGTGAATGCCTTCACAACACAGAGTTGCTGCTCTCCACTCCCAAGCCAGTCAGAAGAACAGGCTGCACAAGATAATCAATGTCTGGATGTGATTGGCACACAAATGAGCATCTCAAGTGATAAGAAGGATACAGAGAATAAGATATTTTTTTGCTGAATTTGCAGCCCCAGTAAAACCATTTTTTTCTTCTTGAAAGTTCACATCAGAAATTGGTCCGTTCTGTCTACCATTTAAGAATAACTGTGGACTTCTTAGTGATGCTAATTAAGATCTCAGACAACAGCATCCAGGAGAAACACTGTGTACCTCCAGGTGGCCAACAAACGAGTGTTTTTCGGCTCATCACCTCTCAGCTTGACTCCAATGCCTAAGCACAAAGCTTTCAACACACAGGATCCTTTAGCTGGTACAGAACACAGTAACCTTTCTCTTAGGCTATGTCACAGACACAGACATACCCCATTTGCTCTCCGTGCCTTCTGCTGGCTCCTCGGGCACTGTCATTGTCCACTTTGCAGTCACAGTGCTTGAGTTTACATTTATGTTCAAATAAGCCTCGACATAAGAAATCTAAAAGGCTGCTGAGCACCTTCAATACTGCAGTGCAACGCAGCTGTGTGTCGTAAGGGAAAAAGCATCTAGGAGGAAACAACTCTTCTCAGTGCCCAGGCCAGGGCTGTGGAATAAACCCACAGAAAAGGAAGATCTTAATAAACACAAACACACAGAGATAGGTAAAAAAAACTAATGCTATAAAACAGCAAAGCCAGATAATTGCATTCAGTGCACATATTATATTTTTTTGGCCTTGCTTTTCTTATATCACAGCATAAGTGCTCAGGTATCCACATTCCAAACCAAAAAATATCCACTGCACTTGTCTCCAAAGCAGGAGCACAAGGAATAGCACACCCCGGAGTTACTCACCACAATGCCGACCGTCCCCTGGATGGAGGTGGTGCAGTCTCTCACACCACACATCCACAACATGCTCCTGGACTGTCCCCACACAGGACATGAGTACAGGGCACTTGGTCTCTGGAGATGAGTTAAGAGGCACCTTCTCACAGCTGTCTACTATGAGAAGTTAATTTGGCCCCTAAGTGTGTGATTAAGATCCCTTATCGTGGTGACAAAGATTATGGCAGTCATTCTGTCTATGGCCTCTCAGGCTTGTTGTGGTGGCAATGTAAACCATACTACACATCTTTTCTCACCCTTTCCTTTCCTTTTGGCAAGTTTTGGAGCTGAAGCAGTGAATTTACTCCAGCAACAAAGCTTATCTACAGCAACATAAGCTGTTGCAGGGAGATTGGCTCCATTTCCACCCCCCTTCCACAATCCATCAGGCTGAGAACACTTCTGGGCAGCTACCACTGAAGTTTCTTCCAAACATGAGTTTAATTCGTGTTGTACATGACATAAGCCCCCACCTGCAGCTGGTTTGCTAGCAGTCAGCTTATTTGTAGCTGAATAAGCAAAACAACCTTTTGCTTTCTACCTATTAGGTCAGTGACATTGATTTCCCCTGACTGCAATGGCTGCAGACCTTTACATGCAGAAAAGGGAGAACTGAAAGCATGCAAGTTGTTCGGGGAGCTGCTGTGTACCATGGGAAGTGGAGAGTCAGGGTTGTTTTCCTTTTTCAGCTTTGCGTGGTTGGCTAGTCCTGCTGTGCTAAGGCCCTGGGTCCAAGCTGTCCACAGCTATTCACTTTTTCTCAAGACACATTATACAGGGTGGACAGAAATGAATAATTAAGTCAGAGGGGCCCGCTAGGACTTATGAAGGTGACATTTGGAATATCAGCAGAAGGAGATAGTGCTGCAACTCTTTTTTATGTTGAGAAGTGTGCTCCTTTTAGCATCAAGTCCTCGGTCCATTTGCTGTTGTCACAATCATTAATGTCATTAAGCAGCTTCTGTGCTCGCTCTGAGGATGCAGATGGCACTAAGTTGTTTGAAACAGATTCTAGACCATGGGCTTGACTATGAACTGCCCCATCCAAAACAACAAAACACCCAGACACAGCCCTATCCAAAGCCTCCTGTGTGACTGAAGTCATGTCCTCTTGGACAAGAGGTTGTAGGTTCACAGTCAAGAAAGCACTTGAGGCAACAACATCAGAAAGATTCCACTCCACGTGCACCTTTTAACTCTAGAGCTTTGTGTTGTCCAGATGGAAAGAACAGACCTGATGGCAGTCGGGGAGATCCCCTCAGATGTGCCAAATAGTGTCACTGAAAGAAAGGTCCTGGTGCCTGCAGCAGGTATTAGATACCAGCAAGCATGTCACGCACCCTCCATTAACTGTCCCTTAATAAAAGTCTTCAAAGTACATTAGTATTAGAAAGGCACCGATGAAACCCTTAATCATGATAGCAACTATTAGTTTGGGCCAGGGCAGTGAAATTGGTTTATTATGTGCTGCTCTTCTGATGCAGTCTGCCTCTATACTTAGAAAATGTCAATTAATTTATGGACACGGAGCTTTTATCCCTCTCCTGATAGCTGGCACATCCTCTCTCCATTTCAATTTGTTGGCTCACTTTCTTATGTGAAATTCAGCAGAAAAGGGGCACGCAGATCACCCTGGGAAGCTATCAGTCAGACAGAGAGAGCAGAAACTGCTTTTAATTGTCCAGGAGAATGTCCGAGCTTGACCTCAGCAGCCAGCCTCGGCCTGGGGAACTCAGGGGAGCCGTAAGATACGGCGATGAGGCAGATACCATTATGCACGGCGCTGGGGGACCAGCTTCAATTAAAGAAGACAGCAATCCTATAAAATCTGTAGCATTTATGGCATTTTGACATGAGCAAGGGGAACCCAGAACACTCAGGATTAGAAGAGCAGATTCATGCACGTCCCTCCCCTGTTCACATATTCCTACCAAAGACAGCTGTTCCCATCAGTTCATCTGAGTTACTCGTATATTAGTGGATACACAGGGAATATCCCCTCCATGGGCTGCCTGTCTCACTGTGCCTGTTCTTTTTACAAGTCTGGAGGAACCATAGACAATACGGGATAATTCAACACTAAAAGGAAGTTGGCTTCAATGTCCTTTCCCCCTTAATCCTCTGCAACAGTCATCCCACTGACACCAGCCCTTGCAACCTCCACAACTGAACATCACTTCTCCAGCCCCGGGGTTCAAACTGGAGGTCTTGACACTTCACACACAGCTGACAATTGCTGTGATGGAGGGATGCAAGGACAGGCAGCTGCTCATGCTGTGAGATAGCTGTAAGGTAGCGAGCTAAAAATAACAACAGTTCCTTGAGAAATAACGCCAAAAAAGCTTGGGAACACAGACCTAGACATGGTTTGGTTTTGAGAGTGATTTTAGAACACGCTTCTCAGTTCTCCATGGTTTCAGCCTGCCTTGAGCACTAACTGTGTTTCTCTGCTCCCTTCTTACACCGTGCAGGATTACAGGGTGAACATCTTCCTGCGACAGCAGTGGAATGACCCACGGCTGGCGTACAACGAATACCCTGATGACTCTCTGGACCTGGACCCCTCTATGCTGGACTCCATCTGGAAGCCTGACTTGTTCTTCGCTAATGAGAAAGGGGCCCATTTCCATGAGATTACCACAGACAACAAGCTTCTGAGGATCTCCAGAAACGGCAATGTCCTGTACAGCATCAGGTGAGGTGACTCAATGGGAAGAGCCCCAGCAAGGTAGGGGAGATACAAGCTAAACTCCCACTGTTCAAACCTAAAATGAGAAAGTGAAGACTTTGAGCATGCCCTTGCATAAAAGAAATTAAGACTTTTTTAATGCGGGAGATCATGCAATTAACAGTGTCATAGCAGTGTGGTGGGAAGGGACTCTGGAGGTCTCTCATGCAAACATGTCCTGACAATTGACAACAATAGCTCAGGTCAGCTGTGGTTTTGTCTGGCCAAATTGAAATACCTCACGGATGGAGACCCCATGACCTCCGCAAGCAGCCTGTGCCAGTGGGTCATCCTCCTTCTGGGGCAGAATCCTTCACACAAATATCACTGAAAAGTGAAACACATCCTTATTTCCCTGACCAATATCGTTTCAATATTTTATTTTTTTTAGTTACATACAGTTATGCAAACTAAAAGAAAGAAAATGGTCACTAACCAGCTCCCTCATCTGGACCTTGATATCCAACATTAACCTGAGCTTAAAAGCAGTGAGGTATACAGTTCCCTGTTTGCATGTCTAAGCACACCCTTGTGGGAGCAGAGTAATGTGCCATAAGGGCAGAGGTTTTTCTCCAGCCACCCCAAGAAGTAGAGGTTAGCAAAAGTGTGGACTCCTGAGAAAGTGCCACCAGCTCCCTGAGCTTCAGTCCTAATTTTGCATTAGTAGCTTCCCTTTAAAAGAAAGCATGAAGAACACCATAATTTTTCTTTATGGGTACAGAAGATGCCCATCCAAAAGGACTAGGCAGCTGGCAGTACCATATCACACACCAGTGAAGAGCTTAAATAGAGACAAATATTCCTGTGCCTTATTCTGGAAGTCAGGATCTTGAAGGATGGTACTTTTGAAAGGCATGGAGACCACACACCATGAGCTGGGCTGCTTCTGGGACAACAGAGACCACTGCACAGCTGGGGGTACTTTACTTAACCCTAATATAAAATTCCTTGAGATATTATACTAGCACAAGCCTAAAAACAGCTGTACTACATGAAAACTAGTAGTAGCCCATGAAAAGTATGTTTTAAAAGCTGCAGCATTTCCTGACAAAAAAACTAGGGAAACTGCTAAGTAGAGCTCCATGGCTTTGTCTCAGCGTAACTCTTCCCATTTATCCCTTTATAGCTAGATCCATCAGTGAAGCTGAACTAATTGCACTGAATTTCCCCCAGGAAATCAATCCAATCCCCTGCCTTCACTTCCCTTCCAACCCCACCCACTCTTTACTTTAAACTGCTCCATGGCTTTGTCTCAGCATAACTCTTCCCATTTATCCCTTTATAGCTAGATCCATCAGTGAAGCTGAACTAATTGCACTGAATTTCCCCCAGGAAATCAATCCAATCCCCTGCCTTCACTTCCCTTCCAACCCCACCCACTCTTTACTTTAAACTGATGAAATAAAGATCAAACTTCATGGGCTTAAAAGAGGGAAAGTTTAACTCTATCTTGAAGACTTTTTCACCTCATGTATAATGTAAATTTGCCTAAGGTAGACTCTCCCCATCTGATGCCGCAGCTCCCAGTGGCAGCCATGGGGAAGAAAAAGCAGCATGGAGCTGTAAAATGGAAAATAAACAGCTTAGTGCTGCAATGTAGACAGGCTCCATCAAACATCAAGGTGGTTCCAGTCCAAAGACCAGATTCCTGATGGCCAAAAGAGTAAGAGAATTGCCATGCATGTTGGCTGAACGTGGAAACCTCACATTTCTTTACTTCTAAAAAAGGCATGTAGTAAAATTGCCACCTGCAATTTGGCAGTGCATGGCGTGCAGAGTTTTTTTCCAGGTGGGTTTACAGGAGCAAAGACTAGTGGTGACTCTCTTCTAGTAAGGTGTTTAAATACAGAAATGCAATTGCTTTCCTAATGAGGAAACTTGAATAGGTTGATTCTTTCTGCTGTAACATTTTCTGTCCCAACATGCCTCTAAACTCAAGCAGAGAATTTTTTCCAACATAAGTATTTAAGTTAAAGTATCTTTCCTTCCTGCTAAGTTTCTTATAGGCCTGATGATAGAAAAATTCAATTCCTGTCCCCCAGGAAATTCCGCTATTTCTACATCAAAGCAAAAAGCTGAAAAATGTAAATGCTTCAGGGAACAGCATTTTCAGCATTATCAAACCAACACAAGTTTAGCTATCTGAATCAAATGATTCAAGATCAACTTGTTGAACCAAACAAACCTGTTGAGCATAGATCATGGTATAGGACAGCACTGCAATATACCACGGAAAATATTGCCTGCACCTAGTGGGAAAGGGAGCTTGGGAGAAAAAAATGGAGGTCTCAAGGGGCACAGCAGGAATTCAGGAAGATACAGAGGTTCATATTGACTGAGTATATTCCCTGCAGAAAATCCCACCAGTCTCTCTTTTCCCCCACAGCGATGTGTGATCTTGACCAAAATTCGTAGGTTTTTTTGGACGTAGAAATGTCAGCTCAAAGATTTCTGAACAGTCCCAGTCTCTAGATATGCATCTGGGGGGTCCAGAGAATGGATTTGGGCTTGATGCTAATCCAAACTGTTGTTAACCCGAGGCAAGAAATGAAGGGTTTTTTTGATGTACAAATGTCAGCTCAAAGATTTCTGAACAGTCCCAGTCTCTAGATATGCATCTGGGGGGTCCAGAGAATGGATTTGGGCTTGATGCTAATCCAAACTGTTGTTAACCCGAGGCAAGAAATGAAGACCAAAGCAGCACAACCATTTGGTGTGGGAACTCTTTGTTCTGCACAGTCCAAAACAACATCACAATGAAACGCCATCTGCAGCGGGAGACTCTATTGGGAATTACATCACAGACCCAAATGCTCAGTGTTTCTGATGCTTTCAAACACCACGTGTGAAAGCACAGGCAGGGAAGAGGTGAAAGATCAGTCATTCCCCCCAGTATACCACTGTGTCTTGGGCAAGGTACTAGCTTGTTTGCAACACTGGATGCCTGAGAAGCTTCACCCCCTTATCAGTAGCACAAACAGTTTGTCATTCCCTTGTGCTGTCTTCTCTCCTTAGGATCACACTGACTCTGGCCTGCCCCATGGACCTGAAGAACTTCCCCATGGATGTACAGACGTGCATCATGCAGTTAGAAAGCTGTGAGTCCTGCACACATCTCCATTTTGGAGAGAAGATAACATGTTTTCCATCTCCCTCTCCCTTGCCATCTCCCTCCCCAGCTGCAACCCATTCCCAGTTCAGCTTTCTTTGGGGGCTTGCTCAAGAACCACTTGCTCATGATTTTCCACTCATTCAGCACATGTGACGTTTCGTAGAGAAGCCAAACCTTAAAAGATCCCATGAGAGAAGTCCTGGCTTGCTTGTATTTACATTGGCCTTTCACTTCGGAGGAGAAAGGTGAAAGCATTTTCAGCTGCAAACGGGATTTTTTCTCTCTGGATGAACATTTGCCCCTTGTACATGTTGCTTATCCCAAAGGAGGGGAAGACGATGAACAACTTCATTCAGAGAAAGAGGTCAAGTTTGAAAAAATGGCAAATGGCTCAACAAGCCAAGTTGAAGGAAAAAATGTGCTTTATTGCAGACAATTCATTGCACACCATCACAGCTCCAGCGCAGATCATTAGCACAGCTTTTACCATATGCATGAGCAGTTTTGCCTCAACCCAAATCCCATTTCATTACAGCATTGCCAAGAAAGGCCAGGATAAGTCCCTGCCTTCAAGCATAGCTTTCTTCTGCAAATCTGCCCCTTTCCAGATCAGTGTTTAATGTTTCACATGGTGCTTGTTCCCTCCTCTCAACAGTTGGCTACACAATGAACGACCTCATATTCGAGTGGCAAGAAAAAGGAGCCGTGCAAGTGGCTGACGGGCTGACGTTGCCTCAGTTTATCCTCAAAGAAGAAAAAGACTTGAGATACTGCACAAAGCACTACAACACAGGTCAGTGCTGTTTACCCTTAGCTGCTGGATTCATTAGAGAGGAATTCAGGACTTGGGATTTGCCAGAGTCTTTTGCTCTGTCTGATGGTACTCTGGTGATACAAGTCTTGTCCTACTAGAGACAACATATATAAAAATACACATAGATAAGTTGCAAGTAAATACACACATATACAGAAAAAAAAAAAAGCTAATACACAAAAATGTGTGGAACCCTCTTATCCCCAGTAATACTGTCATCAGTTCAAGGGTGTTTGATCTGGACCTTCTCTCCCAGCATTTTCTTTTGTGTTTGATGCAAGGCAGCAGATGAAATCTAAGCAACAAAGGACATCCTGCCAAGAGCGTTCTTCGCTCTGTTGATGTTGCACCTTCATATTTCAGAACTGGGCAACAGCTGTTAATTTCCTCCTCTAACAAAACTCTGGTTCTAGGCAATGCAAGGAAAGTCCCCAGACAATAGCTGAAAACAGGAGGCTCACCGTGCCTTACCAGTGATCTTCCATGTATCTCCCATCCTTCCCAGGCAAGTTCACCTGTATAGAAGCTCGTTTCCACCTGGAGCGGCAGATGGGCTATTACTTGATCCAGATGTACATTCCCAGCCTCCTTATTGTCATTCTGTCCTGGATCTCCTTCTGGATCAATATGGATGCTGCACCTGCTCGTGTTGGGCTGGGGATCACCACAGTGCTCACTATGACCACACAGAGCTCTGGTTCCCGAGCATCACTGCCCAAGGTAAGGAATGCACTTATCTTCACTGGGGGTGGAAATGTGCTCTCTCTGAGAACAGCACATAAGTAACTCACCACAAAAAATCATCCTCCTCAACACAAAAGGCATTCTGCTGCCTTCCCCCATTCCAGTTTAAGGGCAAGCAGCACAAATTCCAGTCCCCTCCTGCAAAAAATTTAGCAGGGTTTCTATGACTAGCAGCAGAACTTCTCCTAAGATTCAGCATTCAGCCCACGATCCACCACAGTTCCCTGTAGCTGGGATCTCCGTACATTACAAACCCCTTCAAAAACCACACATGGATATGCACTCTACATTCTAGCTTTTACCCACTTGACCATCATACTTTTATAGTAGTAATGAATTTCTCTGTAATGAAGGCCTTCTGGTGTGGTCAGATTGGATTACTGTTCTCCCTGCATATAAACCATCACAACCAAGACCTGGATAAATTAAAAACTATAGAATTATTGCTACTTAAGAGCCCAGGAGCAGTTCACTGGCCTAATAATACATTCATGTTAAATGAGCTAGATTGTGGTGTCCAAGAGCTGAAATCAACCTTAGCATAGCTTGATCAACTCCTTTCAAAGACCTTGGGAGTAACATGTAAAATGGGAAACAAAAAGGCATTTGGGTGAAGAAGACACCCCATCTCAGTCACTCTCTCTGACTCCTAGGTGTCCTATGTGAAGGCCATAGACATTTGGATGGCTGTGTGCTTGCTGTTTGTGTTCTCCGCACTTCTAGAGTACGCTGCCGTCAACTTCGTGTCTCGGCAGCACAAAGAGCTGCTCAGGTTCAGAAGGAAGAGGAGGCACCATAAGGTAATACATAAAGCATGAAGGACATGGCTGGAATCTGTCCCAGCAGAACATCACTGCATGGTCAACTGAACCAAGCCACTAGCCCCCAGGGAAGTCCTCAGTATAGTCAGATGTTAAGGAGGGTCACACATCAAAAAGCAGGTCTACCTCAATGAATTGTGTCTCTTCTAAAAGTCTGCTGACCTCACGTGTCTAGCAGGCTGGTTTTTGCTAACTAGCCAAGTGGTCTAAGCTGAAAGGCTTGTTCTCAACAGAACAGTTTTCACACAGCAATGTTTCTGGCCTGAGTTATTCTCTTCAGAAGACACAGTGAGGGCTGGTGGAGGCAGGCAGGGAGGTGTGAGGGATGTCTATCACAGAACAGCATCCTCCACAACAAGGCAGCCTACATTAGCCCGGAGGTAAGTGACACCTCTTTTGTCTCTGTCATCTCCGTGTTCGAAAGCATCTGCTTCTCAGACTGACTGCAAATTCCTCTCGGAAGGAAAGAGCATTATTCTCAGCCTGAGCCTTGCTCCATGCTTATTTGCCATGACTGACACCAACCCGAGCATGCATGCATCACACAGACACACATCTCCTGCAGCCTGGACTCTACTAGCTTTGGGGTTGAGGTACCACAGGGAAGATTTCAGGTTACAGGGTGCACTAGAAAGAAACATTAAAGTGACTGTGATCATAAGACCAAAGGCACTTAAAAGTTGTCCTTAATTAACTGGTATAATCAGGTAGGTGGTATGTAATTTTCAGCACCAGGTGTGAGAGGCTGCCCTCAAACTAGCATGAAAAAAAACAGTAAATTTGATAAGAAAAAAAAAAAAATACACAATTTTGCTGATGGTAATCTCAAGAAAGCCACTAGGAGACCACAAAGGTCTGCCTAAAATATTCCTCATAGGTATTTGTCTACCCTCTAGCTTAAAGAGTCCTCTGTGGTCCATCCCATCCAGAGCAATTATATTGCCTCACTGTTCCAGCCATTTAAAGTCTTTCCCAAGTTCTAACCTGTCCTTCAGCAGTTCACAGTGTGTGCTTGGAGATCTTTGACCATTCCAGGAGGCAGTGGGGGCTAAGGAGATTTACCTTTCTTCTTCAGTTGTCCTGTCTGCAAAACAGGAGATGCTCACTTGTCCCCAACCCAGTCGGGACCAAGGATGAAAAGTGTTGGACAAATACAAGGGAAAAGAAGTAACAGACGAGACCACGAGCACTCACTGATTTTGTCTGGCCAGAGCAAGACCCTGCCATCTCAAAATCAACAGAGGTAGTTTTGGTTCAGAAGATGCAGTCTGCTTAACAGAGCCAAAGCTAAAACCACCCAACATGGGTGTCTCGTATTGCACTTATCTTTTCATCTAGATTCAGGCATCCTGTCTCTGGATCCATGCTGCTGTATGCAGATCGGTCTGTTGATAAAACAATAAGAAAAAAGCCACTAATAAACAGATGAGTTTAAAAGATATTTGCCAGAGATGTTCCATTGAACACAAGGCTGCTATTACAATCCCTGCCCAATCTCACACCAATTTAATTGGAACAAAGCATAAACAAAAACACTTGCAAAAGCAAAATGAACAAGGTTTGCAGGCTCATCAGAAAATGAAGAGCTGACTGCAAATATGCAAATGGATTAGTGCAGCTGCCAGCCAACCTAATTGCTCTGTCCTAATGTCCTGACTTGTCTGGGTGGCTCTCCCTAGTTCAGGTGTGACATGCCAGGCTAAAAACAAGGGAGACATTGCAGCAGTCTGTGCTGGTGGAGGCAGCTGCGGAGAGGACCAGCTCATGCCCACATTTATTAGGTCTGACCAAATCAAAATCTACCAGCCATTCTTCACAGCTCAGTGTGCTGGACAACATGCCACCATCTGGCATTATAACAAGTGAATCCAGACACTTTTCTTACTTTCCTAAGCATTAGATGCAAGGTGCTAGCTTATTCTCACCATTAAGAGTCTTTCTTCCTCTCTAAAAAATAACAATCAAACCAATAAATACCTGTTGCATGTTTCAGTTGGCCCTTTCCATTTCTGAGCCACCTCTTACCTCCTTCCCTCTGGAAGAAGGGGAGGGCTAGACTAGAAAGATTGACTAGGAAGCTCACTCCAACCCTGAGAGCAGCTGGGTCCTAATTTTTGGTGCCTCGGTTTCCCCAAGCAGAGCACTGCTTCCTTGCAGAGGCATTGCTAGGATGCAAAGACATGTGAGGATTGTCAAGTCTCAGTTGCCAGGGACCAGAGATACTCCAAGGGGACACAACCAGAACAGGGAATAGTTATCCAAAGGCCTGCAAATTTGCCTCAGCCAGGAGTTTGAAACAAATAACATGCTGGTAGGTCACACAACTCATTGACTTGTCACCATAAAAAAAAAAACAAACCCAAAACAAAGGCAGCTTGATTTTATTTTGGTTGTTTTGCTGATACACCAGCGTGCTCTTCCTCCTGCTCCTCCAACCCCAGACCCCTGGCACGGTGCCTCCATCCCATGCAGCTACCTGCTTGGTACTGGGGCCATCCAGAAAAGACACTCTGCAACGAAGAGAGGAAGGGGCAGCAGGGCACATTTGGCAGGAGGGCTGCGAGGGAGGGGGCCAGTAGGTAGGTCAGTGTTGGTGGACACAGCGGCTTGATTTTATTTGGGTTGTTTTGCTTTGCTCCGATACGCCAGCGTGCTCTTCCTCCTGCTCCTCCAACCCCAGACCCCTGGCACGGTGCCTCCATCCCATGCAGCTACCTGCTTGGTACTGGGGCCATCCAGAAAAGACACTCTGCAACGAAGAGAGGAAGGGGCAGCAGGGCACATTTGGCAGGAGGGCTGCGAGGGAGGGGGCCAGTAGGTAGGTCAGTGTTGGTGGACACAGCGTGGATCAGCCTCCATGACAGATAATTACTGCCATTGGTCTAACAATTAGCCTCAGTGACCCGTGGTCATGAGACTCAGGGTTCTGACCCTGCCTCTGCAAATCACTGGTTGTATTACTTTGGCCAAACTTGTTTTTTCCTGTTATCACATCCCCGAGTTCAATAAAATCGGGCTAAAACCCTCTCAGAAACCTGGAAGGCCTCCACCAAAAACCAGCATTAGCATTTGCCTTTAGACTGGGAAATAAATTCTTTTTCTTGCTCAATAATTGGAATTAGCACAAGTCTTACCGTTGACCCACAGAAGGGCATTTCTGTTCCTCACCTAAAAGATGTCCTGTGGGGAGGGTCTGTGGGGCTCGGGGGGGTCCCGTGGGGTTGCACGCTGCCTGCAGAGGTCTTTTCCTTGGGGCTCGGGGGATCCCGTGGGCTGGCGAGCTGAGGGCTGGTTGCACGCTGCCTGCAGAGGTCTTTTCCTGGACAGGTCTCGGCGCCTGCACATCCATGTAACTCTGTAGGAGGTCTTGGCTTCGACTACCTGAGTTACATGGAGCCCACTCCTTCTGGGCAAGCTGATACAGCACGGGCAGAGCAAAGAAGGTGCTGACAGGAGCCGGGGGGGAGGGAGAGGCAGAAGCAAAACAGGGGATGCAATTGGAAAAATGACCACGGTACCATGAGTATGTCAAAGATGCTGGTGGGGTAGAAGTCAGTCTTGTTCTCCATGGGGTGCCTGAATCCCCTGATTTGCATCTGTGCGTCATGCAGCTGGCACCCCTCTATAAGGCTGATCTCCCAAGAGCAGAGGGTTTGTCCAAGAGTGCTGAGGTCGGGGCATGACAGAGGTGTCTTTCCCTTGCAGAGCAGGAAGCCATCATTGGAGAGCCTTATAGCGAGGGTGCACTGTCTATATCTCATTTTAAGTAGAGTCCCATGCTCAATCTGTTTCAGGAGGACGAAGCTGGCGAAGGCAGGTTCAACTTCACCGCCTACGGGATGGGACCAGCTTGCCTACAAGCCAAGGATGGCATCTCCGTCAAGGGCGCCAACAACAACAACACGGCCAACCCGGTCCCCCCGCCGTCCCGCTCCCCCGAGGAGATGCGAAAGCTCTTCATTCAACGAGCCAAGAAGATCGACAAGATCTCCCGCATCGGCTTCCCTATGGCGTTCCTCATCTTCAACATTTTCTACTGGATCATCTACAAGATCGTCCGCAGAGAGGACGTGCACAACCAGTGAGGGAAGGGGAGCAGCTGGGAGGGAGCGAGCAATCCTTTATATATGTGCAATAGCAATGCAGCAATGCATGAATTTAAGAATGTGGCAATATCTACTAAAAAAAAAAAAAAAGGGGGGGTTTTAATCATGTGAATTGAAGATAACTGGCACAGGGAGGAGAAAAAAAAAATATCTCTTGATCTGGGGAGTGCAGGGTGGGGGTTAGTTTTACAGCATAGGGAGGTTTGGATTGCTCCAGCTGCAATCCAAGCAGTGTAATATATTAATATATATTCATGCTTAATTATAATGCAAAAAGAAAACAATCAAAAAAAAAAGATAAACAAAAAAAATACTTTTTTTAGCCTATTAACAGCTTAGATTCTCAAGTCACTGGAATGATTCATAATTCCATGTGCAGAAACGACCGCAATTATGCTTTATCTGACTTTTGCTATAGAAAGGCCATACCAGTCAAGCACGTGGGGAAAAAAAAGAAAAAAGCCCTAAGGAAAAAAAACAAAAAAACCAAGAAAATCATTCTATGCTTCTCTAGGTTTTGCACTTTGAAAACTGGATAGACAGGGAAACTTAAGAAAGAGGGTTTGGGTGGTTGTTTATTTTATATATTTACTTTTTTTAGTCACGGGTTTGCCGATCAAACACTTTGTGACTTTTGGATAGAGGAAAGCAAATACATTATCCCTTCCATCCCCATCAGAGAGCATCCAATGGGAAACCCGAGAAGGACATCAGGGCCTTCATCAGAAATCACAGGTACCTCCTGTCCTTTTAGATGACCTGACAGGATTCTTGTCCCAGGAGTCAGAAATACTATTCAGAACATTAGAAATGATGAAGGATCTATTTTTTTTTCCAAACCCCTTTCTGCTATGTTTGTTTACAATGGGGGGATGGAAGTGTTGGTTGAGCTAAAGCAGAAATTATATTTAAAATATAGAGAAAACAGGCATATTCATGCCTTGTTGCAACAGGACAGGGCAAGTGGCAATACTGTTGGTAAGGGGTGGGGGGCGGGAAGGTGGGTACAGAGAGAGTGGCTTTTATTTTCAGACATTTCATAGCAGTAATATTAATAGCGAATCTGGGCCGATGGACCCAAAACTCTATTTTTGTATCTATTTTGGTGCTGCATTTAGCTTTAACATGGATGGGAAGACGGAGCAGGCTGCTTCGCCCCGGGGAGTGGCAGGCACAGTTTGGTGGGGATAGGGAAAGGGGGGAGGGAGGTGGGAATGGGGTGGCAAAGGGGTCTTCCTTTGGCCAAGTGGTAGCACAGGCTGGCGGTTGGGGTGGGAGGACACACACCAAGAGCCTCCAGGGTGTCATTTGAAAGCCTGGCTTGGGGCTGGCACGGGTAAGTGAAGGGCTTGATGCCCCACTTGCCTCGCTGGGACCCAGAGCGTGAGCTGGTCTACAGCACCCGGGGTGATTGAGTCGTGTTCGTTTGCACTTTAATGAGAGGGGGAAAGAGAAAGCGTGAAGGAAGAGACAATCAGTCTGCACTGAAGCACTTGGGGTCAGGTCTGGATTAGGCAGAGGGACAAGTGGCACCCAAGGGATGCTTCCACTCTCCCTCCTCTCCCTCCCAGGACTGGATCACAGCTGACCTAGGACAAAGAGATGATGCTTGGTCCAGGAACAGACAGCTTCCTGCTTGCAGAAGCTGTATCCCCCATAGCAGCTGGAGCAGTTCATAGCCCTGTCAGGTCCAGTCTGGCCCAGGTCAGCAGGATCCACGCCTGGGATGGGAGGTGGGAGCCTATACTCAGCCATGGGTGTCCCAATCACAGTGACCAGAGGCAGCTATGGGAGAGGACAGGGGAGCACAGGGACCTGCGAGCTGTCCTAGCAATGGCTTGGTGCCCAGAAAAAGCACCAGGGCTCTCCTGGGCTGGGCAGAGGGACACCCATTTCCAAGGCTGCCAATTCAGCACCTTTCACCAGCACTAAATACACTTTATTTAAAAAAAAAAAAAAAAAGAAAAAAGAAAAAAGAAATTGAAAGAAAGAAACAAAGGATAAGAACAACAAGGGGATAAAAAGAAACAAAGGATAAGAACAACAAGGGGAAAAAAAAAAGGAGGAAAAACTTAAACATGATGGTCACTGCATGGACTAGGGCAAACGGCAATATTTCCTAATGTTTTGGCAAAGGCCACCTAGTTTTCTGACTTCCTTTGCACTGCTGAGACAGGGAAAGGTCACACAGCAGCAGTGTGAACCAGTACATCAGCCCCTTCCCCCTTGCCTCTACCAGAGCAGCAGAAAAGCTGTGAGCTGAGGATTTCTCCTTCCCCTGGCAGACAGTGCTTTCCCAAGGAGGGAAGAGCTCAAGCTGTCGAGCAGAGCTGCTATTTGATGCTGGGACAACTTCCCGAGCCTTGGCTGGAGCCCAAATCCGCTCCTGGCTCTGGTGTTGCTTGCTGAATTATTGAACTCTCCCTGCATGCGCGACGGCTGGTGGTGCCAACTGCGGGTTGTGCGATCGCTTTAAACGGCGCGTCCTTGTCTGAGATGAAAGAGCAAATCCAGGGAATTCCCCTCCCTGCCCGGCAGCAAGGCAGAGGCTTGGCAGCCCACGCGCCGTGGCTCCTCGCTCACGCAGGGGAACAACCGCAAATCGCTGTCATTTGGGCAAAAAAAAGGTTCTGCCTCGACGCCCAGATCTTGCACTCAGGGGTCGGGCAATTTGGTTGTGGTTCACACAACTTCTCAGTCTCCCCATGGCTCACCAGGGCTGCAGGTTTCCTTCCTAACTGGAGATGCTCTACAGAGTTGCCTGCAGGTTGTTAACAAATCCCTTACAACCTCCTCCCACCCAACGGAGTCTTGATCCTGCATCCCAAGGGCAAGACCAGAGCAAGGAGAAGGAATAGTTTCTCACCTGACTTCATTCTGCTCCAGCTTAGAGAAGGGCCTCAAGACCAAAGAGGAATCCCACGGTTCCTCCTAGACCTGCTGCTTGGAGATGCAGATAAGCTGGCAGTTACTGCTTCAGTGGAGCTCCAGTGTCACTTCTTGGCACTGAGGAAGGCAAATTAGGGACTAGAAATCATCAGAAAGATGCTTGTGCTTCCTGCTCATACAGAAGCACTTCAGCTCCTTGTGGAGCCCATGGGAGTACAGGGACTGAAATAAGAATTACACGCTTACCAGCCTGCCTTTGCATCCGGTTTGACTCTGCCAACCGCTGGGCACGTTGGATGCTCACCATAAGCAGCGTTATTTTCTGTTCATTAAGCAGCCAGTTTCCATTCGGGCCACTTTCCAGCCCCAGGGCTGTCTGTACGGTGACGGCGAGCGGCACTCGCATCCCAACGCGAAACATGCTGAGGTCTTGGCAAAGCTCTGACGGTGCTGAGATAGCTGTCCCACAGACGTCCTGCCAGACACTTTCACCACGTCGACAGGACCTTAGAATGTCCCAGGAGCCCCTAGCAAGTCTGCGCCGTGTTCAAAATCAAACATTTTTCTCCATCTGTACCAGGCTGTGTTTAACCTCTCTGTTGCAACACGGCTTGCTTTGATAACCTATCTCATCTTCAAAGTAGGCTGCTTTAACGGTGCCAGCAATTACATTTATTAGGAAGAACATACAGGATTTGATATTGCAGGGTAACTTCCAGGCATATTGATGGAATTTAACTCGGTAAGTGCTAGCTCTTGTTAAGAATGAGGCTCAGGAGCCAAACCTCTGAATAAAAAAGAAGTCCGTCTAGCAGTAAAGAGACAAAATGGGGTCCTAATTCACTTGGACTCTGGAAAAAAATATAGCTTTATCCCAAACAGTGGTATTTCCAGATGTTGCTGGAAATGTATCACTTCATGAGCAGGAATTATTTTTCTTTAGGTATAAATATAACGATGGAAAAAGATAAAAATCAGGATAAATTTACTGTTTGTTTTTTTTTTTTGGTCAGATAGGCAAGTTTTTCCCACTTTAATTCCTGATTAAAGCAGCTTTCCATGAAAATCTAACAGAGGTGCCGAAGAGGGTCCAGGACAGACCAGGTCTGCCAGAGACTGCAAGGCTCAGCCTTGACCCTGGCAAAGCACCAACTCGCCTTTAAATGCACGGGCAGGGTCATTCGCTTCTTGGCTCTGCTGGTGCTCTTGTTCCTCCTGTCCTGGAAGCCTTTGCTGGTCAAGACTGAGGGACTTTGTTCCTAAAAGACACAAACTATTTCATTAGTGCTGAATATTCTCACTTCCTGTGAGCAGAAACATTTTGTTTGTTTGTTTTCCCGACTTTCCTGGAAGGTTTGGGTTTTTTTCTTCTGCCTCTTCTGAAGATCTTTAATTTTAAGGCAAGTCAAAGACCATTTAAATTACATTATTGGTTGTCCTTTCTCTCAACTGCAATTCGAAGACCTTGCTTGGTTTCCTAATGCTGGTGGAAAAGAGATTAGAAGTATTTAGAGTACATATTTTTTTAAAAAGAAAGGAACATATGAAAGGAGAAAAGGCTATTTTAAATGGTGCCATATTTTTCACAGATTTTATACAATCATATTTTTGTACGGTACTACCATTCCTTAATAAAACATAGCTCTTATCCCCGTGCCAAAGACAGACAACCTCTTTCAATACCCTATTCCTTACTCCAAAACCTTGCCACTGGCAGCAGTGGATAGTGCAATCTGGACCTTTTCTCCCTCAAAACCCAATCCTACCAGGGCAGCTGCAGGTCTGGGGTCACCACCTGCCAGCTGGATACCATGCATCTCCCATCTGGGCAACTGCAAGCAGCAGGTCCTGCCCTGCTGGAGCATCCCACAGAGCCCAGTTCAGTGAAAGAAGTATCTGATCCCTTCCCTTTTAGAAAGCCCAGACACTTTCCTGTCTTCTTCTCAAAGGGAGATGTAAAGGGTATCTTGTGCTGCTCCTGCTTAGGAAGATTTGTATCATTTGTATGGAGATAGTGTTCTATTTAAGTAGAAAACTGAGAAACTTGATTGTTCTTCAGGGTGCTAAGACGAGCACCAATGCAGAAGTTAATACTTGTTAATCTTAGCATCTTTAAAATTAATTTAGGTCCTTTAAATCTTCCCATCCCCTCATCTTCTCCTTAACAGCTATTTATTAAGTGCAGTTACACATCTCTCTTGCTCACATGAATCTACACCACAAGTCTGTTACCTTGTTCAAGCATATTGTACTTTGCTGTGTTCATCTCCCTTCTTTCTCTGCCTAACTTTCATTTCTATGGGTGCAAGTTCCTTATATCTGCAACATTTGAAGAGCCTGGCACAGATAGGTACCTTGGAAAATACAGGACAAAATATGTGAATAAAAAAAACTATTCCTCATAAGTGGGCAGGGTAACAGAGTTAGTGGGGAAATGCTCCCACAGCAAAGCCTATGCATGAAGAGGTCTCCTGGAGAACATGAGGGTGGCCAACGAGGTCCCTTTTGACTGCACTCTGTAAGAAAGCAAAGCAGCAGCAAAGAAATTAGACAGACATTTTGGCTATTATCCCTGTGGGGCTCCATGTTTTCCAGTGACCCAGCTATAGAGCAGCTGTTTATTGGAAACCAGGTTCTTCTAGTCTGTCTCCTGCTGTGGCGTGCAGCAGAGGCCCCCAGAAGAAATAAGCTGTTGTGAACCAGGTCATGTGTAAGGAGCTGTTGTGTGTTTTGCACAGGGCATCTGCTCGGAGCTGCTCCAGGCTCTGCCTGCAGCCCGTGGGGAGACACTGCTTGTGCTACGTGAGTCATTCTCAATAACTGCTGGGATGGGCAGCCCCTGGGTGATGCCCTCGGGTGATCCCATATTGAGGGAAGATTGAAGTGCACAGCTTGGACTGGAGATACTGGGGCTTAGTCAGGGTGAGGAATCCCAAGCTGTGACCTCC